ATAGCTAGTAAGCTAGAAGACTTTGTCCCTTTTCTTGAAAGATTTGCATAGCTTTCAACTGAGCTAATTGGCGTGGGAAAGCGCGCCTTCTTGACCTTGTCCTCCAACTCAAATTAATGATTTGAGTAATATTATATGGATGATATCGGCCTAAGGATTTTTATAATCACAGATCAATGTACGGTTCCCAGCATTCTTCCCATAGCCATCACTTCGCATGCCTCTCGCGCTTTTGTGCCTCGTTTGTCGCGTTCTGCGGCTTCCACATATCGGTGCTCCTTTACCGACGCTTTAAAGGCAGGAATGGGCTCGTAGAGGTGGCACTTATGGTAAGAATTTCAAGTCAGAGAGTTTAACCTAGCGCTATTTATTCAAGTTTAAGCTTATGAAATCTTTCATATATGAATTTGCCTAGAAAGCTTACTTCATAGCAGTATCGTAGTCATCCATGCGCGGACCATCGAAAAAAATATTTTGAGCATTTTTTTTGATCACATAAACCCATGGTCCGTTATCGAGATTACTTTTTAGAATTGTCCTTCGGATTGGATGCAACGAGAATCGCCCATCAAAAGGAACATCTATGGCTGCTGAGCTGTTTTTCAAAGAAAACGTAAGGTTTTTTGAACTAGGCTATGATCATCCCATACTGCATCGGCAATAATTATATGTATGGTTGTGTTCAAAAAATTTGTGTTATCCCTCTCTCGCTCTGCTACTATAATCTTATGATGAGGGAACAGTTGATGTAGTTTTCAACTTATTAGTCCTAGGTTCTTAATCCTTGAGGATTATCAGGAAATAATTAGTATGAGCAGCTAACTTGAAATGTCATTCTTTCATACCTCTGAGGTGTATCTCAACAATTATCCAGGGGGTATTTCTTAGCAGATTTTTCTACAATTGATACCGCTCAAACCTGCACATTTCCTTGAATGTCGCGGATTTACGCGAAGAGACCCGAGATCGCGGAATTTCGGCAATTCCGCAGATTTTTGGAATCTCGCTGAATTCCGCAACATTCGAATTCGCCGTATTTGTGAGCGCTGTATTTCTAAATGCTGGGCTAATTGTCATATTTCCAGTAGCTAATATTCAAAAAGGGGAAATCATTGCCTCTTTAAACTCTTCGTTATCAAAGCCTTCTGCACAAAGTGATAGCGTAGCTTTTCGTATTTGGTTCAGCTTCATATAATTTAATTTTATGTTAACGCCTACATTGCTCCACCATGTAACGATGAACAGGAGCAGATTGGTCGACTTGGGTACTTCTGGAAGCGACCAGTTTTCGCAAGGACCTTAAGTACACCTTTTGCTATGAATCCAACGGTGAGATACGAATGCGATGGATATTACTCGCGTCGGAAGCATTTTTCTCCAGGTCTTTCCGAACACAGTCAATGTAGCGACTTCTTCTTCCGCTGGTCTTGCTCAATCATTATTACAATTTGCTAGGCAGTTAGATGAAGTACAAGTTGGTTTTCAAACTAAGTTTTCATGACTTATCTGTAATCAGGTAAATAACCGGTACCAACAAATCATATGTGGTTTCTTACTGACAAATGTGCAGTTTGATAACATCGCCATCATCTGCACCTCAAAAATTCTTCAATATCTATGCGGATACATTGAAAGTTTTAGATCACGCTCGTTGGGCCTCCAACCAGAAATACCGATCAGTACTCTATTACCAATGCCATTTATGATTATTTGAATGCTACGGGTTCGATGTTGATTAGGAAAAATATCGAAGTATGCATCTCTTTTCATCCTACAACTTCTAGCTTTACCAAATTTTAGGTTAAAAGGAACTATAATGGTATCTCAGACACCATTCGTTCCTTACAAATGTCAACGAAGGGTAATCTTAGAAACTCCCTCATTTTCCTCGCTTTATACGAATCATTGCAGTTGTCGCTATCGGTACAGATTTCGAAAATCTGAAAGAAGCGCTGGATCAACTCGACGTCCGCAGTCTGTCCAGTAACTCATATATTGTAATCATGTTGTGCTCTAGTCCAGTAGAAAACTGTTTTGCCAGTCCTGATGCAAGATCTGTAATTGCGAACAACGATATAATGGTGGTGAGCGAGAGCATCTAGCTGTTTTTTCTTGGCTTACACATCAATCACTCCAGCTAGCACCGAGGATGGAGAACTATGCTATGGCAAGCACGAAGTTATCAACGCTCATTTCTAATCCTGTTATGGTATGGGAATTTTGATAAGTTATTGTAGTTTTGCCCATAATTACTTTAGGGAAATATGGACAGATATATATCCCTGTATAACTCCTGCTATGGCTACTGCTTCGGGGTAAAAGTCGGTGGAACGGGAGACACACAGACTTTCTCGGCAACAATGAAATCGAAATCGTTTTCCAGTGAGATTTCCTTAACAGTACTATAGCAAAAATGCAGATTGTATTGCGCGATGTGAATATAGGTGCTAGTTTTTCATGTTCTCACTTTTGATCATCTTATGCAACTATTGGCTAAATAAATGTCTTATAAGGACCATTCCAGCGCTTTTCACATTAATTATTGGTTCTTTTCAGATTCTTTAGGAACGTTTCAGTTCGATGGTGGAGGCACTCTCCTCTACGACTATTACCTCTACACTTTGCCCGGCAGAGATGGTAAGAAGGATCTTGACCTAAAGTTACTCTAAGCACTTTCTCACATAGAATCGTACAACGTCATCATGCAAATGCTTACACAGACCAGCCAGTGCACTTCGATCACGTGCTTCACTTTGGTAATACTCTGATAAGTAATTCTCAGCTCCAAA